AATTTGACCATTCTCATCTTTTCTTTGTGACTGCACAGGGACGTCGGCGGCGGCTCTTTTACTGGAAACGAAGTGTGAGTGTGTGAGTGTGTAACGTAGCTGGACAAGGCAGTCCACACCTGATCTCTCTCGTCGCCGCCCTCTTGCTCCTTTGATATTTTTCCCGCCACTCATTCAAATAAGTCGAATCCAATCGGCGGAGGAGGAGGACACCAAAGATCAGAGATGAGTGTGTGTTGATGGCGACGCGGTATAGGCAACCCGTCCGACGGCCAAGCGGCGCGAGGCTGGCGCCCCGTAGAGAAGTCGGCGGGATTACGGACATTCCGAGCCGGCGCGGCGCCCGCACCGTCCTGCATAAAACCATTAGACTGACCGGAGAGAGAAGGAGAGAGGTAGAGAGAGAGAGAGAAGTAGATATGTTGGTGGATGCGACCGCTTCATGGGTGGGAGGGCGTAAGCGTAAACAAGGATTATAAACACTTGCTGATCATGCATCTCCTGATCGCTCTTTCCCTTCTCTCTCACTCTCTCTACTCCTTTACCTTCCCATCCGTCTCGCTTCTTTTCCCTCTCTTTTTTTCCGTGCGGCTCTTGCCGTTGAGTCCACCAGGGCAGGCGCCCTGCTCGCCTCCGGCGGCGCCGGGGCCCTGTTTGGTCAGCCCTCGCCACCCCCCCCCCCTTTGCCCCATTCCCTTCCCCTGTCTCCTTTGTCTCACACCTCACTCGGTTGGCCCTCTCCGTCTCCGTTTTCTGATTATCATTTATTATTTTCACAAATCTTGTCCGTTTAACTCTCTATATGATGTCGTTCCTCGCCGTCGTCAGATTGGGCCTGATAAGTAAGCAAGCTAGGCGGGCATGGGAAAAAATGGGCCTTGTAAAACGATATCAGCTAGCATCGTTCGATCAACAATCTCTGCATAACGTTTTTCTGGTATATTTTTTTTTATTGGGCGACGGCGTGTTCTGGCAGTGTACACGCACGTCTACTCGTTGGCTACCGTTGTCGTCACATCAACGCTCCAGTGGGTAGAGAAAGAGAGAGAGAAAGAGGGTGAGGGAGAGGGTATAATCTTAATGACCGCCCAGCAGCGGGAACCTAGGTGGGGCGTGGCGGCGCGGTGCACGAGGTCCTCGCTAAGTGAAAACCTGGTGTATGTACTCAGACCCAGGTGGCGGGAGCTAGGATAGAGCTCATCGATGCGGAGTTTCTTTTGAGTCTGAGACGGTCGCGATACCTCCTCCTTTCGCCTGTCTACCTCTGACAAAGGGGATTAGATAAAAATAAATAGGGAGAATAATAGGAGGGAGAGAGGTAGACCAAGCAAGAATTAAAAATAAATTTGCTTCAATTATTTTTGCGGAGGATTCCGCAGCGCGACGAGACGCCGCCTTTACGAACATTTGAGTCTACGGCGTATGGGTGTTGTGGCGCCAACTTCTCCATGTTCATTTTGTTTTCTTCCCCTCTGCTCTCCCTGTCTCTCTCTTTCACCTAAACGTTCGATGCCGTGCCATGGGGAGCTCATAAAACAGACATTAGATTTGACATTTTACAAGGCACGATGTGCGTAGTGGCGCAGGGGGAAAGGGGCAAGGGAGGAAGGGAGGAAGGGTATGTCGCGTCCATTAATCATGGAGTTCATCACCTCAGAGAGATACTTATACCCACTCCCCCTGTCACACACACACACAAGCGCGAAGCGCGCCCTTTTCTCACACAGGCAACGCCAAAGGGTGGATCACCAGAAATCGGCCTCCTTATCACTGTTACGAAGATGCTCAGCAAGAGGAGACATTTTCGGTCAGCGTGGAGATCACTTTGACTGACTTTGGCAAAAGGCTGAATAAATTACTCAAATAACAGTTTTCTTATCGTTTTTTGTTGGTCTTTAAAAAAAAAATTCATGATCTAAATAATACATTTGCATGCTGCTTTAATATCCTACAGTCTTTGCCGCTCTCTTTCGCCCTCCTTGCCTCTCCGTTTGATGCGGTGTGTCTGGTGGTGGCTCTGCGGATCCCTCACAGCCTTGAGACCTGATTCCCAATAAATTAGCTGGACAGGCCAGAGGGGAGGAGGGGAGGTCGGGCGTCCACTCCCACCGAACAGGTGCGAAAGCCAGAAGACAGGAACAGAGAGTGTGTGTGTGAGAGAGAAGGGGGGTTGCTCATGATCGTTATGTTATATTTATGTTTATTTGACACATGTGCGCCTCTTAAACGGGCTGGCCAGCACTCTATATAATAGAGACATGCCACACCTCCCGCCTCACAGTCACACACACTCACACACACACTCCCACACCTACACACACCCAAGAGCCACTTTGCTGAAACCTATAATTTCTTCCAGGAAGCAGCGCACGATATTACAAAACTAAACAAAACCATATAATAATGACTGCGGTACACCGTCAGGCAGCCAGCAGCAGCAGAAGGGGCGAAAAGGGGGCGGAAAATAGCGGCTCAGCCGGACTCTAACCTGAGAGGGACGCGAGGAAAACGTGGAGGAAAAACATTTTCCCCGGAGTTCTAAATGAGGGGTGTGCCCCTGCGTGCGCGACACAATATGCCGTGCAGCGAGCGTCCAACTTGGGAGCGCCTTGTACAAACAAGGGGGCAGGCCGGCACGGGCACGGCCAGCCCAGACGGATATAGATGGACGGATAGATGACTCTCCGCCCCCGTATCTATCACATATCTATTATCCTCATTCAACACCTTTTTGGCGTCGTTGGCGTTTTTGTTTTATTTCTCCGGCCCGTTCCCGGGCGCCCCTCGTCACCCGGGCCTCACGCCTCCGGGCCGTGTGATTATCGAGAAATGCTCGCCGTGAGGATGCGTCCGAGGAGAGGCGGGGGGGGGGGGGCATATTCGGATCGAGAGTTTTGAGAGATTCCAATGAGTTTCCCCCTCCCCCCTGTCGCCCCTCTCTCAAAACCCTCCCTCTTCTCCCCGCCCCCAAATTGGACGCCAGCGGTCAGGAGGTGTGGATGAGGTTTACCCACGGGCGCACTCCTGCCCCTCCCCCCCACTTCTCCCCCGGTTTATCTGTTGTTTGCAGCCGAGGAGGTATCAGCCTCTCCCAGCATCCGAGGCGTGGACCAGACCAGGCCGCGGGGCAGCGAGATGGAATCTCGTGAATGAATAAGAGAGAAGGGCAGACCATCGTCGATCTGCGATTAGGTTAAGAGCGACTGCGCGCCCATTGAGGAGATCCAGCCCAAGGACCTTCCCCCACTTTCCCCTCCCCCGTCCCCGTCCATCTCTCTCTCTCTTCTTCTGCCCTCCTCTCCGCAAGGTAGCAAGAAAACGAGTGTGTGCGGCCAGGCCAGGATGCTGCCGAAATGAGATTTTCCCCTCTGGACATTGGTGACGTCATCGGTCACCAATTACTCAGCTTGATGCCCTCCCAAGGTGTGTGTGTGAGTCGTGTTATCTTCTTTCGTTCCCTCTTTTCTTACCCCACCCGACGGGCTGGACCCCCCGCGAAGTAATGAAGAAACTAGCCGGGGTGATTACCCCTTTGGGTCCGTCCAGGCTAATCACGCACACACACACACACACACTCACATAGACGCTGACGAGGCGTGGACATGGGTCCCCCTGCCCCCCGAGTAAATACCTGTTAACTACAAGGTGTTGCATTTTTTTGCTCCCACCCCACTTTTCCCTCCAGTGCGAGGTAGGTGGAGTATGTGTTTGGTTTGGAGGGCTATTTGCGGCATGCAACGGCCGAACGCGCGGTGGCAGAATTGTAGGCGGCAAAGAAGGAGGGGCGCTTGTTGAAATCGTGCAGAAAAAAAAACAAGAAGAAAAACTTCGCGCTAATTTTGTTTCGGATATTTGTTTTTCCTCGGCGTTCTCGGCGCCGGCGCTGGGCTCGTGGTGGAGGGACCCCCGGTCAGGCCTCATGGTGGGTACCGCCAGAGGTACCAGCTCATGGCGGTACCTGTTCCCCGCGGCACATGTTGGCAACGCTGCACACGGCGACGGCGACGTGATTCGCAGACGGGAAGGAAGAGCGAGCGAGAGGGAAGCTGGCGGAAAGAGCGATTAAGGAAGGAAGAGAGAGGGAGAGAGAGCATTGGGCGTCCAGAGAGAGAGAGAGAGAGAGACAGAGAGAGACAGAGAGAGACAGAGAGAGAGACAGAGATAAAGAAAGTGGATTGACGGAAATAAGCAGGATGGTCTCCTCCTGCGGCGATTACTAACATGGGATTGCCTTGGGGTGTTATTAGCCCTGCATTGTTGTGTTCTAGTTCGAGGTGGCGTCAGGTACAACATTCCTGTGTGTGTGAGTGTGTAAGTCTGTGTGTGTGCGTGTATGTAATCTAGTCTGGCAGGGCATGAATGGGTGCTTGGGATGAATGAGGTATACGGACGGGTACCTCCCACCGGCTGGCAGCGGCACAGGTACCCGGCGCCGGTCATCGAGTCGATGACTTCATCGCTCGCACACACACACACACACCGCCATCAGACTGGAGGTTCGAGTCCCACCAGGGGCCTAAGCATCGCCTGTGCTCACCCCTTTTGCGTGCGACGCTAAAGTGACAAGTTGATTAGGGGCGGCACTTCGTGTTTGTACGCAATTATCTCGCGATACTACTGCTGCTCTTGCATCAAAAGATACAATAATAAAAAAGTAACAAAAATAAAAATAAACGTGGGTCGAAACTAAGGAGGAAACCACGACAAGTTACGAGACTTTACGTCCCAAGACAATTTTTTTTTGGTTTGGTTCTGTTTTGCTGACCGGGCCGACCGGCTGCCGGCTGCGCGCGTTAGGCCCCTCCAATTTCCATTTTATGACTAAATCGAAGCAGCGCGCGGTCGGGGCGCCGCCGC